ACTACGTTTTTATCGATTAGATAAAAATGGAGTGCGAAAATGCGGTTACGCCCGCGAGTTACCTGACAATATTCCGCGACAATATTTATCTGGTCATGCTAACGACAGCGGCTATCTTGCGGAGTAATATGATGGGCGGTTAGGACCGGTTACAGCAATGCCGATCGGCGCTAACCTCGATTAATTAAATTTTGTTACCTCATCTACGGGGTGTACCGCGACTGTTGTTTCAACGACACCCGCAACACCTCGGCCAATCCCATGCCAATTTTTCTTCGACCAAATGCCGCGGGGCGAATGATTCTCGAGCTGCCGACGAAATTGCTCATACTTTCGATAAAAAGCAAAAAAATCGGTAGAAAAAACAGCGAGATAATCCTTGGATATTAACAGGCAGCAAGGAATTATCTTGAATTATCCTGAAATTTTCTCGACGAAAGAATCTCGACTCTGTGCAAGTTTCAATTCCCAGAAATGTGTCATCAAATCTAAACGTATACGGAAAAAACAAATTTCTTCAAGTACCTAAAAATTTGATCAAATATAGAAATTTGAAATAATTTTGTCGAGTTCCTAACATAATTTTTGCGATATTATCGTTGTGTTTAAGCATCCAATAAAATTATTTTTAAATTTATATCTGGCCAAATTTTTAAATCACTTCAGTAAAACCGTTCTTTTTATGTATTATTATTCGGACACCGTGTATATCTTAATTGGAGCTCCGACAAGATGGAAACAGGGATCACCATTAAGAATCTGTTAAGGCTGTCAGTGCGATTTATCGTGGAGGGAAAACTCGGGCTCGTTTCCGTTGTCACGTTCGGCTCGATCGGCGTGTCACGCGATTAGTCGCGGAGCGGGATTAATCAGGTCGTGTAAAAAAGGAAGACAAAGAAACGATCGCGAAACGAACGAGGCAACGCACATTGCTCGTGTTGCACCTCCATCGTCGAGTAGTTTCCGGTTAGTCGTATGCGGGGGAGAGGGGAGAGGGGGTTGGGACGACCTCGGCGCGATTGTTCCCGTTCGAATTCCGGTACGCTGGGCCGTCACATACAGGCCCCTCTTTCAGTCTTCGTTATCTTCTGATACCGCCCGTCCTTCCGATTACAACTGTAAACATGGCCGCCGAAGGCGCTTCTCCCATTTTTTTTTTTGCAGGTGTCGCGCCCATTCTTGGGTGTCTTCCCGTTGTGATACGCGCGACCGGAAACATCCGGCAGATTCACGCTGCGGAGACTCCAAGTGCGAGAATCTTGGAAAGAAAGAAAAGGAGAATGCGACAAGTGCTTTGGATAAGTGCCTTTCGATGCCAAAGACGCAGCTGTCGAAGCAGATTCGATGCTCTTCGGCTGCTGCGCGTTGGCATCATCGGAGTTTGGTCGGTTGACAAAAGTACGATGACTTTACGCGCGAAGAAAATAGACGAAACTTCGAAAATATTTCCGAGAGAGTGAGAGAAAGAGAGAAGGAAAGAAAGAACGAGTCGAAAAAGTTCGGAGAAAATACTGGGAATCGACAATGTTTATCTGGTCGGCGAGGATTTCCAGGAACTGCCTCGCTCGCGGCTCGTCGTGGACGGGGCGAGACGGGACGGCATTTTATGAAGTCGACTATTTCGGCAACAAATAAAGCTCGGAACTCGCTTGCCTCAAAAATGTAGGGAAGAAAACTCATGATCTCGCCATCGCGGCTTGCTTTTTATCGAATACTCTGCAGATAAGAGCCGATGTGTTCCGCAATCTGGATTTTATGCGATAATTCCCTCATGACCCAGATTTTTGATAAATGTATTGTAAAATGTAATACGCGTTTACCGTGAACTAAAGGGTTTTTGGATAATCTACAAAATGCATTTATACGCAACGAACGATATTAATTGTGAATTATTGATTTCTCCAATATCCCGAGATGAAATTTCCCAGCCATTATCGGTCGCAAAGTGCGGGACGGATTTCATAAAATTTGTAAACTTAATATACTTAATCTCGCGTATCTGTGTAATCGTATATCTATTTAATATCTTCCTATAATTACAAATTTCTACAAATTTCATTTAATAATACGTTCGGTCTCGCCCCCGTCCTCATTCACGTCTCCTTTTTATTTTCGACGAGCCGCGAGCGAGACACTTCCTGGAAGATAAATAAGTCCCGCGTACGCGCGGTTGATTCTAAGTACTTTCTCGGAATTTTTCGACCTCGCTATCCCGGGAGTCTTTCGAGAGAATCTATCTTTTCGTTTTACACAGGCGATTCCTTTTACAATACTGCGGAACATCCCGGAATATTTACTCAGGGCAGGTGGCTTGCGGCGAAGGTGCGAGGCGAGACGGAACGTAAAAATTTTACAGCTCCGCCAGGAGAGTCGCGTGCTCGCAAGGTAAGACGGCGGCTACGCGTCGCCGAGGAGCTTTCTATTAGCGAACGTCGTCGTCGTCGTCGTCGTCGTCGTCGTCATCGTCGCCGCCGCTGCCGTGCGCACGCATATATCAACACAGAGACATGCGGTCCGCACCGCGTGGTCGATGGCATCCCCGCTCATCTTAGGCCCTGCGCACAACGCGGAGAAGATCTTAGAAATCGAAATATTAAATTTCGGAAATAAAAATGAAAAATCAAGATTAAATGTTATACCACGAGTGATATGAGATCACATTTCATAATATATACAACAACACAATACATACAAACTACAGCCCAAGTCGAGGCTTCCTAATCCCCTATCTCTCTCGCTTATGGTGCACACGCAGATTGTACACAGGCATACGGACCTACAATTTTATGCTGAAGCCGAACGGCTTAATTGAAAGAGGTTTCCGTAGCAATGACAGTACTTCTGAGAGCTTTGCCAGGCCGCCGAAGAGGAGATACGAGCGTATGAGAAACATTCTTGGTTCTGTCGGGAATCCGAGACTTCTAAAAGCATAGTAGACCAGTGTGCTGCCTACCATGCCACGCTCGCTTTCAAATATCAGATATAGCTATATCTCTTATATCTAGGTCCATTTTGCGTTACATTTAATCTCGAGTTCTAATTTTTATTTTCAAAATTTTAAATTTATTCTTATTTCTAATAATAATAGTTCCATTGTGTGAGGAAGAAACAGATTTGCTGACAAATCTGAAATCTTTTCCTAGATACAGATTTTGATGATTCAACAAAATTATTTTCCAGCGTTAAAAAATTTTTCATCTTCTAACAATCAATTTAAACATCATATATAATTCAGAAGATTTTTGAGGTACAGATCTGATAATTTTTTGAGGCTTTCACAATTTTTAGATTTGCCAAAGTAAAATTGTCTTTTTCATGCAGGCCCCTTAGACGCCCGATGTTGTAATAGCCGGTTGGGAAACAGAGCTGACTCTACGTGTCCCGCGAAACCCCGCCGATAAATCGCCACCATCAATCGTCGGGAGACTTCAACTCGATCGCCACGAAATCGAATGATTTCGCTTTAATCCACGTGATGTAGGATGCCTGCTCGCGTCATGCGAAATCGCGCGATTTCTCGCCCCATTCGGCTCCCCCAAGTCGCGTTATTACCGTCTATCTTGTTTATCGTGCGTTGCAAGTCGGAAACCAATCGTATTATTACATCGCATGGATTTCGATATTTTATATGATGTTGATATTTATCGGAAGCACAATGATGTTCGCGTTCCGCGATGTACCTGTGAGATATCGCTCTTCGTAAATTTTAAAGTACATTGCGATCTACAAACCGCGCGAAACGTAAGAACGTCGATGTAAGTTAACGTAAACATCTAATAACAACGTCCCGCTCAACGTTATCTGTGTTATTTTGCCTTCTGTTGCAACTAGTATTCTTCTAAGAACTTGTTGGAAACATTGGAAGCATTGGAAATCGATATTCAATCTCGAATAAAAATATGTAGTGTATCAAAACTAACATAATATCCGCATGTATATCTGACTAGACAAACTTCTTAAATTTGCTAAGCTGAGTACAAGAATAAGCTACAGGTATGTAAAATAAATACATTACAAGATATATTAAATGTATTATAATAAAAATATATATGTATATTAAATATATCATTAAATTTTTAATATACATAAATATTATACCGCGTAGAAGTTTATGGACTTTACTCGAATGGGTACAGGGATTCGCGTGTGTCTAGGTACAATCCTGCATTCCGCCCTCCACTGTAGGAAGGCGAAACCGAAGGCGGTCGAACGCGGCCGAAGA